AGGTGCTGAGGGCATGAAACTGATCAGGAAGCCACACCTAGTCATGGTCTCTAGTATCCCACTCAACACGCCTATTAAGAACTTAAAATGCGCAGAGAACGAAGAGTGGATTGCCCAAGCCTACTCCCGTAACCCAGGTATCAGGATCGAAAGGGTAGCGTGGCTCTACTCCAATAAGAACCTGAAATCCAGACGGGACGGGGGCAAGCAGACGAAGGGATCCCTGCTCATGAACGTTGGGACGGAAGAGAACCAGAGGAAGCTGGTCAAGTCTGGCTTCCTGATGGGGGCTGAGTGGCACCCAGCTTAGCTCTGGGACATCTCCCTCACAGATGGACAGTGCTTCAAGTGCTGGAAATGGGGCCACACCCAGTCTGTCTGCAACGCCACCAAGGAGGCGTGTGGGCACTGTGCTAGAGACCACGCCACTAGGAGCTGCAAGAGCACCAATGAGTTGAAAGCTAGCTGTGCGTGTTGCAAGCAGAAGGGACACAAGGCCTAGATGTCACGCTAATGCAGGGCCTACTAAATATTTTAGACCACGAACAAAGAGACTAAACAGAGGCTACAGTAGCAGACGCTCTAGATCTAGTCTAACTAGGGACAAGGGTTCTTAGGACTAACTATTAGCCTTAGCAGCTCTACGCTGGCTAGTAGAGCTAGCTTAGCAAGAGGAGATGAAGTGGAATGGACAACTGTTCCAGTTGCTGGGGGAAACAAGAGGAGAGCAGCAGTTGGTCGCCCCACCCACATAAGCAGGGCCGCCAGCGCCCTAGGGCAACAGCGGATATTCACATTCCGTCAAGAAACTGGAGACAACAACACGCTAGCTGAGGAAGCCGTTCGATCCACCTAATGAGAGGACTGGGCATCATCCAATATAACTGCGGAAATGCGAATGGAGGAGCAGCAAGGCCACTCCTAGACTTAGTCATCCCGGCGTCGTTCCTGGTCATTGCAATCCAGGAACCCATAATTGGAAGCTCAACAGGTGGGCACACATACTGCCCTAAGAACTACTAACTAAGCCACCCCCTACGCTAGGGGATGAAGGTGGTATTCCTTATATACAACTAAATACTACTTACTAAAGTTAAGAGCATGTTAGCTACTAACCTTACTAAGGGAATCTAAGTCCGCACGCAAGGCTAGTGGACCTACATCATTAACGTTTACAGCCCGCCTATAATACTAGGCTGGGAAGCCACACACACCATCAAAGCATGGCTGGCAATCAGGAACGCCATCCAGGACGCTCTGCCCAACGCTGCAACTCTAATTATTAGAGACTTTAATGCCCACCACCTAGAATAGTCAGGGAGGAATACACCAGGAGAACTGCAGGCAGAACAGCTCCGTGCTAACATGGCTAGTTAGGGATTCTAGCTCCTAAACAAACTAGGGGTACTAACCTAGAGAAGAGGACCCCTCTAATTAGTTATAGACCTAGGGTTTGCTACAAGGGTTGTAGCAGACAGAGTCACAACCTACTAACTAAGAGAGGACTAGGCTGTCACAAGGGACCACGTCCTAATTAAGATCTAGATAGACACAAGCCCTATAGCCAGGAAGGAAAGCAAGCAGTTCGCCCTTGCAAAGGCTGACTGGGACAGGATTAAAGATACTGTGAACTAAGGCGACTAGACCCAGGCGACAGGAGGAGAGGCTATTATAGGCCTTATTAAACAAGTTAAGGAGGCACTGACTAAACACTGCCCTACAAAGAAGACCTGCAACAGAGCGAGGCCTGATTAGTCACCTAAAGCAGCCACAATACTTGACGAGGTAAAGAGGGCTAGACAACTAGCACAACAGGACCACACAGGAGACAGTAAAAGGGCGTGGAAAGCCCTCTGTAACAGACTAAAGAGAGTCCTGCAGTCAAACGCCAGAGCACATTAGAGAAAAGTAGTAGCAGACCTCACCAACAACAAAAACTTAGACAACGCCCTAAACAAGGGTCTGTGGAACCTATCTAAGTAGAGCTAGAAAGTTAAGAGCAGGGGCGAGGGGACAGCAAACGTCCCACTACTCTAGAGGTTAGCAGAAAGCGAACTCAAAGCCTCAAACAAGGAGAAGGCTAGGATCCTAGGGGAGCACTTCTTCCTAGCCAGCGGGGCGGCGGACCTGTCAGACATCAACCCCATCACAGAGTACCCACGCTTCCACCTAGCGCCAGAGATATCCCTAGACAAATTAAAGGAGGTCATCTCCTCACTACCTAATAACAAGGCACTAGGACCTAACTAGATATAGAATAAAGTATAGAAAACTCTTAAGGAGGATATTGCAGACAGAGCCTCTGCAGCAATCTCCTAGGTGCTGAAGGATAGCAAGGTACCTATGCACCTTAAGGAATCTACAACTGTCGTACTACGCAAGGAGAAGAAAAAGGACTACTCCCTGCCAGGGAGCTACTGCCCTATTGCATTAGAAAACACAATAGCCAAAATTATAGAAAAGATTGTCGCCAACAAGATCACGAACGCGATGGAGGACAAGGAACTCACGCCATGGAATCAAATGGGAGCCCACAGGAAGAGGTCCACACTCACAGCCGTAGAACTCCTCACGGGCACAGTCACTACGGCATGGGGGGCAGGTCAGCCAGTAGTCTTAGTGCTCACACTCGACCTGGCCAGAGCATTCAACAACGTAGCTCATGATCACCTCACATAGGTACTCCGACGTAAAGGCTTCCCTAAGTAGATAGTTGTATATGTGGAGGCCTTTCTTAAAAACAGACAGACAAAGATTAGCTTTAACAACTACAGCAGCCCATAGATAGAGACGAACACTAGTATACCACAGGGATCCCCCCTGTCGCCTGTGCTGTTCCTACTCTTTATCTCTAACCTACTAGAGGACCTAAGCAAAGTCCAGGACAAGTGCCTAGGCTTTGGCTTTGTGGACAACACAAACATTATAGTATAGGGACTATCTGCAGCAGACAACTGTAGGAGACTTACAAACGCCCACACGTGATGCAAACAGTGGGCATCTAGATTTAGAGTAAGGTTTGCCCCTAAGAAATACTAGCTTATGCACTTTACTAGGCAGCAGAACAAGGGAGATAACCTCCTCTCTATAGTAATAGTAGGAGACTAGCTAGCTAAGATTGTTACAATAATAAGGGTACTTAGAGTATAGATAGACCTAAAGCTCTTGTGGAAAACACACATCTAGAAGGTAGTAATAAAAGGAGAGATGGCGTTCTACGCTATGTCTAGGATTATAGCATTGTTATAGGGCCTGTTAGTCTGCAAGTCACAATTGGTATACACAGCAGTGGCACGTCTAATCATGGTATATAGATCCTAGATATAGTTAATAGGGCAGGGAGGCAAAGGCATAGACAAGGCAAAGATTCGCAAGCTAGCGGTGGTCTAGAACAAGTGTCTGAGGCGGACGCTAGGGGCCTATAAGAGAATACTAGTGGCTGCAATTAAGAAAGAGAGCAGAACGCCGCCACTATCCCTGTACATACAGGTGGTGACCCTCTAAAGGGCAGTCATAACAACAAATTACCTAGTCACAAAGAGGATTAAAGAGACACTTAACAAAGTATAGGCCTTAGCCACTACAGGTAGACAAGCAGCAAGACGGGGCAGGCCGGCGAGGATCCTCACTCAGCCACAAACTAACATAGAGGGCGCCTGCCAAATAGGGAGAAAACTTATTAACAAACAAATAGCGCGTAGGCAGGCTAAGGCTGCCACTACAGGTCCAAGGAACAAGCCTAACAGAAGGCAGATACAGTCAAGGAGCACGATTAAGGAGATTGCCATGGACCTCACAGACAGATGGAGGAGGAGATGGGAGCTTCAGGCAGCAAAACCTCACAGGTCGGCGCCTACGTGGAAGGAGAGCTGGGATTTCCAGCCACTGCATCTATATGACGGCGTTCCCAAACACGTAGCTACAGCAATTGTGTTGCTACGCACAGAGGTCCTCGGGCTCAAGGCGTGGCTAGCACGAATTGGGGTACTGGGCACCAACCCTGACTGCACGTGCGGACACCCTAGGCAGACTCTCAGCCACGTCCTCTTGTTCTGCCCAGACTAGAGGGAGGCGAGGCTTAAGCTGATGGAAAGGGCGGGCACAATGGATCTCCCACGAATTCTGATAAACTAGGAGAAGGTTGCAGCAGCAGGCAGGTGGCTGTTGGACACAGGACTGCTAGAGCAGTTTCAAGTGGCGCTAGAGGTAGAACAGACTAACACTAGGGGGTGGTCCCTATTTACAGCTATAGGCTAACACCCACACAAGCCCTTCTGCTCCCCTACTATAGGGCAGCACAGACAGGTACTAGACAGGACTATAACAGAAGGCAACAGACACAGACGAGGTGGGGGTTTTTAGCTCTAATAGAGCATGTTGGCCCTAATCACGAAAGCGAGTACATAGTGTTCATAGACCTAAAAGGGAACCAGGCAGCACTCTAAATTGAAATCTTACTTACTTACTTACTAATTTCTATAATTAACACTCTTAATTAGCTTACTAAAGGCGCAGAGCTAATAGCGCATTCACTAGTTTTAGTGTGTAACTAGGTTGCTAACCTACATCGGGAAAAGTTTTTCCGTTGTCGAAATCAGGAAATCGTGGCATTGTACTGTGGGCAACAGTAGGACTTGTAGGCCTACAACAGTCATTCAATGTGCATTCAATGTCTAGCCAATTTTGAGCTAACAGCTCCAACAGTCCTAACAGCTGCAATGGCCACAACAACTCCTAATCCTGCTACAATAGTAGCTCTGCTTAATAAACTAACGTAGATTATCACCAAGCCGGCCATATCACCAAACCGGCCACTTTCTCTTAGCACGACCACCTTTTACCCTAACACAACATGCCTCAACAACAACAACTTTAGAATACTACTAGAGAAGGTAGAGTTATCCTTACTATCTAGGCCTTCTACACTAGCTAATTTTGTAGTATCTGCAGCGCTGCTAGAGCGTTGAACATACCTTATTAGTAGGTCTCTAATTACCTTTGCAATATCACGTTTTAACTAGACATACGTGCTAATTGCTAGAAACTTACTATACTAGAGGAGCAGACAATTATCTAGTGTTGCAGCCAAAATAGAGGCAAAATGTACATACATTTGCACCCCTGAATTGGCTGGTAAATAGGCATGATATCTGCTGCGACACACCCCCTCACGTCTAACCAGGACCGCATGATTGGAGGTGACACAACGCAGCAGAATGCCTAATGTGCTGAGTAGGTGAATCCTTCTTCGTGATGCTCTACACTATGCTCCAGATAGTAGCCCTAGTTAAGCAGGTACTATGCTAAGGC